CGACATGGTGGGGCCCCGGCCCGATCGCGAGGCAAGGGAAAGGACCGGCCGGGGGCTGAGAGCGTCACTCAGGAGGCCTTTAACTCGCCGCTTTTCATGACGTTCAGGTCGGAGCCGCCGCTCCTCTGGCTCAGCAGTACCAACTAGCAGCAGCAGCCACTAACACCGCGGCATAGCCGCCATCTTGTAATCCGACTCCTGTCCCGTCCCTGCCTTTCTCTTCCTCTCCCAGCCGGGGGAGGGAGAGGGACGGAAGGCCTGCACGGGCTCCACTAGCAGGGGCTATGGCGGCCGGGAAGGGAAGGAAAAGAAAAGGCTGTCAGTTTGCGAAGGAGGAAGGGGTTGAGAATACGTTGCGCCTGCGTGTTGCATACTTTCCTGCTGGACGCGGAAAAGCTGTGTTGCCCTGGCTTTTTTCTGCAGTAATAGTACCTGTAGTTTCTTGGAATGATTGTCGCCTCTAACACAGGCGTCTCTGAAGGACCGCCTCCAAGATTCCCAGCAGTTCTCTCCTTTATTTTATTGAATTAGTCTGAGTTTCTTTGCTACTGGCGTTGTAGCGTTTGAGAGGAAAGACCCATTCTCCTCGTTGCAAAGGCGCTGAAGAAGACGAGTTGGGACGATACTATACTCTTAAGAATGCAGAGAGAAAATCACCCCACCCCTCCCGCGCGCTCATCACCTGTAATACTGTATTTTTTTCATCAAAAAGATTCTAGAGCTATTTTATCCCAAGACTTAAGTGCCTAACTTTTCCTTTCAAATGCCTTTAGAAAACACGCTACTTGATACATCTGTAGCACAGCACAAACTAAATAGGGCGGTCTAAAGATGATAGCTTCAATTTTTGGAGATGGAGCCACCTTCAGATGCAAGCTGACTTGCTAAGGATTTTAGCTTCTATTAATTCATAAATGATGGTCTTAATGCCCTACAGTTTTTTTCAATTCTGCATGGTTTAATACAGCTGTATGTTAAAGCCATGATGCATAAAATTAAGAGCAAGCAATAAGAAACAGGCCTAGAAGGGTGCCATGACAACGGTATCAAATAACAGAATAACAGAGTTGGGAAGGACTTTGGAGATCTGCTCAAGCAGGAAATCCTATAACGTTTCAGACAATCCAATCTCTTCTTAAAACCACTAGTATTAGAGCACCCACAACTTCTGGAGGCAAGTTGTTCCACTGTCAGGAAATTTCTCCTTAGTTCTTGGTTGGTTCTCTTTGATTAGATTTCATCCATTGCTTCTTGTCCTGCCTTCAGGTGCTTTGGAGAATAAGTTGACCCCCCACCCCCCGTTCTTTGCGACAGGTCCTTAGATATTGGAACACTATCATGTCATCCCTAATCCTTTTCATTAAACTAGACATACCCAATTCCTGCAACTGTTCTTCAGGTTTTAGCCTCCAGTCCCCTAATCATCTTCGTTGATCTTCTATTTCTAGAGTCTCAACATCTTTTTTATATTGTGGCAGCCAAAACTGGATGTAATATTCCAAGTGTGGTCTTACCAAGGCATTAAAAAAATGCTGCTGAAAGGTCAAGAAGAGCCAGAATGGATGCACTACCTTCATCCTCTCCAGTCAGAGGTCATCCATGAGTTTGATCAATGCCTTCTCAATCCCAAACCATGACCTGAACCCTGACTGAAAGGAATCTAGATAATCTTCACCCAAGGTTCTCTGCAACTGTGACGCATCCACTGTCTGCACAACCTTCCCTGAGAAGGGAAGATTGGAAACTGGGCAAAAACTATCCAACTTGGTTGGGTAAAGCAATGTCTTCTTAGGAGGGGGTGCACTACCATTCCTTCTTTCAAGGAGGAATTAACTAGCACCCAGACCAATCCTGCATCTCTTTCCAGTTTTAATAAGACAGGAAGGGCATGGATTAGGTGACTGAACTAACAGCTGGGAGGGTCTTGTCCACTTCCCTCAGGTTCCAGGGCTCAAACTCTTCCCAGATCACCTTGCAAAATGTGGCCCCCATGACCTCCACAAAGTGCTTTAAAGCTGGAGTCCAATATGAAGCGAATATGAACGATTTTATCTGCCAGATGTGAACTTTCATGTTGCTCTGGATGGACTCAGTTACAGCAGTTTTGGGTGCATTATTGGAACTACTGAAGGATCAGGTTAAGGACACATCATCATGGGAAAAAATCTGTGTGGTTGGTAAGAGTCAACAGTGACCTGATAGCGTGTAATCATATTTCCAAGATAACTGTAAAATAGTGGGATTCACATAAAAAAAACTTTTGCCAAACAGTCTGTGGTAGGACTTTTAGGCAATGATTTAAATGTTTTTAATTGGTTTAATTGTTTTTGTCCAGCTGTTCTTTGTAGTTTCCTTTTGAGATCTGCTTGCAAATGGCTAAAATGGTCACTAGTATTAAATAAATGCAGTTATATTGACTGAAACTAACAATTTTCACTGAATTAAAACTATTAAGGAAAAGGAAAAATATTTAATCCAGGTCCTGGAATATCAGAAAAGCAGACATTTGGGGTCATTGTACAAGAGAAGACAATATAGCAATATTTTTCCCCAAGGCAACCAATATAAAATTGGGCCACTTAGATTTAATTATATACTCATTTCAGGAATTAACCTCAACCCTTTGTTTCCTATGGTGCTTAGTACAAAATTTTAAATTAAGAAATTTGGTCAATAATTAAAATAGTAATAGCTGCAATTTAATTTTTACACATGTATAAATAGGTGTAATATAAAATAGTAACATACAATATCAAACCTTAAATTATATTTCATATTTCTAAACCGCCCATCTCCCTTCAAGGAGGGGCTCTTTGTTAATGTTAAGCTTTAAAATATAAAGTTTCAGTAATCCTAATTGTACATAATACCTGAAACACCATTGTAACATGGGTAGGAATTTTGCTGAAATAACAGAGGAAGAAAAAAGAAGAATTCTTGCTAATGGGGAAATGCTGATAAGACTTTACTTAAGGAGATGCTGTGCTACTCAGAAAAGGCATCTAGGAATCAAGCCACATAAGGCTTTGTAGGCTAAAGCTAATATTGTGATTTGCACTTAAAAATGTGTAAGTAATCCACTGAGGTTACAGTCACTCTTGATATATTTGCATATTAAAAAATACAAACATTACTATTCAAGGCTGCAAGAACCAGCTGCAAGAAGGAAATCTTGCATTACTTATAAAAGAAATGCTTGTTCAACTGTGAACATCTACAACTGCTGAAAATATTCATAAAGTACAGTACATATTTATGATTCTTCCAGAGCCCTAAAAATCCTGATTTTCAAGAGCACCAAAAACTGGTAGCTGGCATCCCCCATAGTCTTATCTAATTATACTGCCAATGATTGCACCAATGATAGCTGTCTATTAGCAAACATTTCCCACTGTTTGGCTGGAAACATATTAAGATTATAGTGTAAGTCATCAAACAGACTTAATGCGAAAAGTGAAAAACAACCATCACAAAAAAATCAGTTTATATCACACCTCAACCACTATAGCCTTTGCCTTCTAATCAGTTAAGTCCAGTCCCCATACACCTAAAGGATATCCATTTGTCTGTATCATTTAAAGATTGCAATTGTTCAAACACAAATATGACTTACAAATGGATATGATTGCTAAAAGACAGAAATGACAAATTTAAAAACTTTGCAATTTTAATGAAAAAGAAATGGCTTTATATATATTTTTTAGTTTTAAAAAGGTGACGGGGAGAGGTAATAATCCTAAAAAAAGGCAGAAAGTTCTCAAGTACCAAGGTAATACTTTAAGATGACAGCAAAAGGAGTATTTCTCACGCAGTTGAGTAATACGACAGTCACTCTAAATATTAAAGGGAATTTTATTGCCATCTCGTTGCCAAGATATGTATAAGCTTAGTCCATCAGTATTAACTGGAATAGATGCAAAAGAAGTTCTAAATTATTACTTAAGATCCTGACGTCAGATAATCCAGTGGAGTAAGACTCTAGCTATTAAGTTTCACAGAACTTAAATTCTTCAGTAAACCAAAATTTTGAATTATGTCCAGAATATCATCATGGCAACACCACCAATTCCCAGTCATAAGCCAAGCAAAGCCTGTTATTACGAGAAACTCATAAATCCCACTGTGGATCAGAGAAGGGTAAATATAGCCCTTCATGTAATCAGCAAATAAACATTTGTTCAGTCTATACTTCATGTTTTAAAGTGTAGAAAGTTTCTACAAATGATGCATATAATTGTTTTTGAAAGGTTAGCACAAAGGCTTTCAAAGAACGTAGAGATATTTTAAAAAAACCGTTAAGTATCTCAGCCTCTGAGACACTCAAGAAACTAGAAATTATCAAATCCTTTAAAACTAAAAAACCTATTCGTTTTATAGATATTTGTTATCAATAAATCAATTTGAAATGCAGACAAGAATATTATTTAGAATGTATTTGATTCCATTATGTTCATACAGAAAAAGACTGTCAAAAACAGCATTTTGTTGGATATGTAATAGGAATGGGTTTTTAAAAAAAATGTTTCTGTACTTAATTTTGGGAGAAAATATTACATTATGTAACAAAAGCTAAAATTTTTAGAGTGTAATATTCTTCTAAATTATATACCTAATACATGGAATTTGACAATCAGACAATGTAAATGGATTCTGTATCCTTGACTAAAAAGTTGATATTGCAGCATTGGAAAGATAAAATTATGGCTCCATTTACTGAATAGATTGAAGACCTGATTGCTCTTGCTACTTATGAGCAGATTGCCTATAGACGTAGATTTTGTATAGGCGAGTATAATGAAATATGGGACTCATTTATATAAAATATAGATTAAAAAAGTCCTGTATAAATACATTAGAAAAATATACATATTTGAACATTTGCATTCAATAAGTATATATAGAAGTGTAACTATTCTTCATATTTCTCTTTGTATTTTTTCACTTGTTTTTTTCTTGACAATTTTTAATTAAAAACAATAAATAAAAAATCCATAAGAATGTCAACAAATTTACATATCTTTAATAGCTTAAAGTAAAATAAGATAAAAGGTCTGTATATTCATGTTACATTTATATTCCTTCAACCCTTCATTAATGAAATATTACATATAACTGAAAATCGTATGTACAAATTGAATTTTTTTTTGGTAAGATTTTGGCATTCGTTTTTTATCTGCTTATACTGAATGATTATGTTGAGATAACCCAGAGTTCTCATTTGGCATAAATGACAAGGCTCAAATTATCCTGCTTCAGACACATCATGCAAAGACTGAGCTCTCTGAAAAGGCTCTAATGTTGGGAAAAATAATAGGAAAGAGAAGAGGATGATCGTGTTAGGAACAGATTGTGATGGAGAATCTATGTAGTAGATAGCAGTTGAAAATGACTTGATGGCACATAATATCAAATGACTTTTCTTGTCATGTAGAATCAAAGATAAATTATATAGAATGAAGATATTTTCCATTTTAAAAAGTATTTGTAGATTCTATAATTCTACAAAAGAGTATTTATTGTCAATAAAAGCTGCTAACCGCTTTTATTTGCTTCTCAAGATTCAGTTTGAGATAACGTACTTCCCTGGGAAAAGCAAAAGTTCAAAAATGTGTTACTGGCAGGTGTTGCATTTTTATTTCTTCATGTTCTGAAGCATCTTCTTCAACGTGATTTGTTTTCCCATTAAAATTCTTTCTAGGAACATATATTACATAAATGTAATAATACAAATTTCTACAAATATCAGGAAACAGTTTATATATGTGACATGTCTTATTAGCACTAGAAATAAGGTTTTAAACAGTATTTGAGTGATATTGTATACTTCTGGAAACATTCTATTCATTTGAAAATATCTGTCAGCTTTTATACAACGTACAAAGGTGTTATGAATTCTTATTTTTGAAAAGAACTTTGAAGGCTTTAAAACAAGGAAAAATTAGCTGGTATTAAATCATATTTTTATGAAATTTAAAATGTACATGGGCATATAGAAACCTGTATATATTACCAGTAATTTCTCAGTTTCTATCAAAGGGAACAGTTCTACTAGTTCAGAAGGATTCTTGTGCTACGCTGAATTGGCAGACTCATGAACTGCACTTCCTATTACTATACTTTTTTTGTCATTCAGTGTTTTAACAACAGATGTAGCTGGACTCTGAAGTACTTTTCGTGAAAGCCTCATTCTTCCATCAGTTGGATCACGTCCAAAGTATTTCACCTGTTCATAGAAGGAAATGAGATTGAACTCAGGATGCATCAAGATTTATGTAGTTTAATTTTTTTAGTGGAAAAATTGACTGTTATTTTTTAGAATTAATGATATATGGAATTCTAAATTTAAAGTACTAACCTAATGTCTTTAAAATCTTTTAAATAAATAAATAATGAGAGAACTATTAAAAATTATTTAATGTTTCAGTGCAAGTAATACATTACAGTCATTTATCCACAAAGATTCCCCACTGGCATATTGAGGTATTAAATTTGTGAAACCAGATCTTCCTAAATATAGCACAATGGATACATCAAAGTCTTGATCATATTATGTTAATTTTACTATCAAGATTGAGTATGATAACAATATATTGCCACTTAAAAGAGTTTCTTATTATACCCCACATTTTTACTCTGATGAATGCTTAAAGCAGCTAACAGTATCTAAAAAACAGAATATTAAAATAAAATGAAGGACTGTCTGTGGAGATTCTCAATCATCCAGGTCCTGGTTGTCCCAAAGGTGCTTTTTCAAAAGGCAACTGGACTTTTGTGGGTTTCCCACCCCCTGAAAATGTTTTGCTTCTCATCCAAGAAGTGACTTCAGTTCTTCTTAGATGAGAAGTGAAATGTTTTTAAGGAAAAAAAGAAGGAAGTCCAGTTACCTTTTGGAAAAGCACCTTTGGGAGAAAAGGAAGGATTGAAATTAATAAAATAGGTACTATTTAAGAATTAGAAGTGTGGTGAAAGTAATGAATCTTTACAGAATTGTTAACAAAGTGGGATAATATTTTGTAGCAAAAGTCAGCTTGTCTAATGGTTAAGGCATTAGGCTAGAAAGCAGGAGATGCTGAGTTCTAGTCCTGCCTTAGCCATGAAAGCCAGCTGGGTAACCTTGGGCCAGTCATTCTCAGCCCACCTCAGAGGGTTGTTGTGGGGAAAATGGGGAAGGAGGTGTGTAAGATATATTCATTGCCTTGAGTTATTTATAAAAATAATAAAGGTGGTATAAGGTAGTATACAAACAAGCAAAGAAAGTAGCCTACGATAAGTGGTGGAAATACTGACAATGAATCAAACTAGATAAGAATCAGAAATGAGAGGAAAAACCCTAACAAAAATGATTTTATATATGCCAAATTCATACTAATTTAGCATATAAGTGATCCTTGGTTAAGGACTCCTTGTTCAGCAACTGTTCAAAGCTGTGGTGATGCTGAATGAGTAGAAGTTACAATTTGTCCTCAGAGTTCTGGCTCTCTCAGCCTCCCTTGCAGTCACCATTTGTAATCTTCCTTAGTGGCTTTCAACAAGCAAAGTCAATGGAGAAGCTACCATGTTTCCTTATCTGACTCCCAGCCCTGTGCCATTTCTCCTTTGCGATCCGCCGCCGCCGCATGCAGGGAAACAAAGTTTTTTTTTGGGGGGGAAAGGTCAATCAATTCCAACTTCTTGCGAATTCCCCCCCCCGCAAAGTTGGAATTGATTGACCTTTTTTTCTCCCCAAAAAGCTTCCTTTGTTTCCCTGCACGCGGTGGATTGTGAAGGAGAAATGGCACGGGTAAGGAAAGACAATTCCTGGGGGGAGCGAGGATTTCTTTCCTTACCTGCCACACTTGTTCCGAGGCCGCTTTCCGCTGAGCCGTGTTGCTCTTGCCAGTGGCCCAACTGCCCACTTCAGCACCCTTCCTCCCCGAGCCTCCAGCGCTCCAACTGCTGCTTTGGTCGGCCTGCCGGCCACTTCGGCACCCTGCCCACTGCCACCCAGCACGGCTGTCCCGGGGCTGCAGGGGCTGGTTTTGCACAGGAAGGGCACATGCCCCACCCTCCCGCCACCGTGCAGGGTAAGGTTGCTGTGCCTCCCCCCATCCAGATGCTCTCGCCTCCCCTAAGCGTTTTTTTAAACTAATCTGCGTTTCAGCTGCATTCCGTTTCTCCGTTTGCTTCTCAGCCTTCGTCGTGTGTTTGTGGGATTACCGGTAAAAAAAAAAAAAGTTCAATCAGACTTTCCAACTTCTTGAGATCTCGCAAGAAGTTAGACAGTCTGATTGAACTTTTTTTTTTGTCCCACAAACATGCGGCGAAGGCTGAGAAGCGAACGGAGAAACGGAATGCAGCTGAAAGGCAGGTTAGTAAAAAAACACTTGGGGGAAGCGAGGGCATCTGGGCGGGGGCGGGCATGGCATCCTTACCTGCGCGGGTTCGGCAGCTGTCTGGCAGGGGGAGGGAAGCAACTGGTCCACCATCACGCTCTCGCCGCTGCGTTTTCTCCACTCCATGCACAGGCCCCGCCCAACTACCACACGGCCTACTGGTGCAGGCACCAGCAAAAAGGAAGCCCTCCCCGAAAGTAAAACATTGTGCTTACTTCAGAGCCCAAAAGAAAGTAAGACATTGTCTTACTTTTGGGGAAACACGGTAGCAGGATGTCCTCATTTAAGAACCCATGATGATTTGCTTAACAACAACTGGAAGTGTTGGAATTGCCACTGCTAAGTGGTGTGGTCTTGTGGCGTCATGCTTTACAACCATGTTGCTTAACAATCGCAATTCTGGCACTCCTAGTTGCTGTTCCTAACTGAGAACTTCTTCCATATAAAATCCTTTTTCTCAGCATTCCCCCCCCCCCAAAAAAATATATCTTTTATGTAGACACACATACTCACTTGTTAATATTCTAGCATGAAATTTAACAAGTTTATGATTTGAAATATATTTTCCCAATGTTCTGAACTACAGCATAAGTAACAGTCAGGGGGAGAATGTCTATAGTTAAGCACATAATTATCACCTCCAACCTGTCCCCCCTCCCAGTTTTCTGATAATGGGGATACTTCTTAGTTCATACAATCCCATTTTATCCCTTTCAAGAACATCACACGAGCATTAGCAATCACATACCACAATATTGATCATGCTAATATGTTAGCTGTATAAAAATATATAACTTTGCTTCCTACATCTTTTAGCCATGACAGTAATTTGAACACTATTACTGAAAGGATTTTCACATATAATAAAGATGTAACAAGTTACCTGGATTTCTTGACCAACTTGTAATCCAATAGCACTAGGATGCTTAATCTAGAACAAAATGATCACCTCATTAGAGTTGTCCTTATAGTTTTAGATTGCTTTCAGTACAACTAACAATACGTATAATAGTTTCTATAAAATTTATTTTTCTTATGAACTTTTCCCCAAATTTTCCAATTCCTTTTTACTCTATATTAACAACTAATGAGAGAATCAGCTGGTACACAGAATGTTTCAACAATATTGTTTAATATAGGGAGAAAATTTAGAAGTCTATCTAAAGTGACTATTCTAATAGCAATCATACTCAGTGCCATATCATAAACCAGAGTCTCCTATGGAAAACCACATGCAACAAATGGTAATTTACTGAACAATATTGTTATATGAACAAACAAACAAAATAAGCACCTTTCTTTGATCCAACTGCGAGTTGTGAAGTAGAACAGGAGTCATATTTGGGTATAATTTTACCATTACCCCAGCATCTCTGCATTTTTAAAAAAAGAAATCTTTTTTAAAAACTACTATAGAATGTTTATTTCATTATTATTTGTATTTATTTTGCAGTATTTATATACCTCTTCAATTAAGAATTTAAGCAGTGAATAACAAAGCATAGGTAAAGAAAACAATCAATAGAAAAATAAACAACTATAATAAAATCCATCCATCCCTTTGTTCAAATATATACCCAATCACAATAAATTAGGACTAAAAGTCCAATGAAAGGCTACTATTTTTACCAGCTACAATGTGGGAGGGTGAATAAATGGAGCTCTGGGGGAAAAGGTACACAAGAGCATGAGGCCTAATATGGGGAAAGACTGGCTCTTCATCTGCATCCCATGTATTCCTGAGGAGGTAGTGGGCTATTCCCTTGTTACACAACACTGACCTTATTCCCTCTTTCCTTCAACATTTTGTCCAATTCAAGAACCTCATTTTATCTGACTGAGCACATTATATATTATTTAACTTTTAAAAGTATTTTATAATCCTTCCCTCAACTGAACTTTGTAAATACAAAGGGGGGGGGAGGGAAAGAGAGATGGAACATACATTCATCTATATGCAGAAATAATAATAATAATAATAATAATGATGATGATGATGATGATGATGATGATAATAATAATAAAAGTTGATAGGGACCTTGGAGGTCATCTAGTCCAACCCCCTGCTCAGGCAGGAAACCCTATACCATTTCAGACAAATGGCTGCCAAGTCTCTTCTTAAAAACTTCCAGTGTTGGAACATTCACCGCTTCTGGAGGCAGGTTGTTCCACTGGTTAATTGTTCTAACTGTCAGGAAGTTTCTCCTTAGTTCTATGTTGCTTCTATTTGACCAACTTCAGAAGATACATTTGTTTACCTTAATTCAATTATTGTGAAAAATTGTTACATAGTTGAGTTTTCTTCATTGAAAGAAAGGAAAAAGTCATATATGATACATTTGTGAGATCATCACGTTTTCTTGTTTTGGGAAGAGAAACAGGAAAATCCTTATCAATCACAATCTGCCACAAGGAAGAGGGGGTCAGGTTGTTCACAAGAGCACCAGAGGGCAGGACAAGAAACAATGGTTGGAAAATGATCAAAGAGAGAAGCAACCTGGAATTAAGGAGAAACTTCCTAACAGTGAGGACAATTAACCAATGGAACAGCTTGCTTTCAGAAATCGTGGGTGCTCCATCACTGGAGGTTTTTAAGAGGAGACTAGACAGTCACTTGTCTGAGATGGTATAAGTTCTCCTGCTTGAGCAGGGGGCTGGACTAGAAGACCTCCAAGGTCCCTTCCAGCTCTATTCTATTCTATGTATTCAGTCTTTTATTGTTCCCATTGTATCAGTTCACACACAAAGGCCTAATGAAACTCTCAAATAATCAGTGTTAAAACACAAGGGTTTGGGATAAGGTTGCAATAGTCTGCACCTCTGCCTTCCATTATTTATGTTATTTCTATGCAATTAAGATGTTTAAAAATAATTAAAATTCCTTTTTTAAAAAAAACACATATAAGTAGTTGGACAAGAAGGAGTTAGGCATAAAATGAAATATTTTAGATTAATGCCTAAGTTAAGGTTATTAACCCATCCTTTCCTTTACTTCTTCATTGTATTGATTTTTTCCTCCTTAACAAAATTAGAACATTAGACTGGTTTGCTTCAGAATTTCCTCTATACCTAAGAAATACCCTAAAAGTTTACATAAAGGTGCTGAAATATATATATATATATTTTTTTAAATAAAGATTGTGGGTATGTAGTAAGTGTATATGTAGTGTGTGTGTGTGAGAGAGAGAGAGAGTGAGAGAGAGGAGAGAGAGATGAAACACACATTCATCTATATGCAGAAATACTATTTGATCAACTTCAGAAGATACATTTGTTTACCTTAATTCAATTATTGTTGCTGTATAAATAGCTCCAAATTCCAACTGATAGTCTTGCTATAAATACAAAGAAAGAAGAACCACAGGAGTAAATATATATGCAAAGAACAAAAACATCCTTGCAAAAGCCAAGGGAGTTCTAGAACAGTTCACCTTTTTAAAAACATGCAATATGGCATGGACCTAGTATTCAAAGAAAATATTAAAATTCTCAAAAGGCCACTTTTTCATTCATTCAATATAATACTTTGGAAATCAGCTATTATATTTTATTTAAATCCAGAAAACTTATCCAGGCTGAAAAGACTTGGACTTGGAGTAGGAAATGTAAATGCAACAAACTGACTCCGAATGTCTGATATTTTTAGAAAATTATTATGAATAATAAAGCTAAAGATATCAAAAAGGCTCTTACATCATCTTTGCATAATTCCTTAATAAATTCTTTTGCTTCATACATAGCTTCTGGTACTGGAGCAAATATGGAAAAAGTCTCTTCATCTACTTGGCTAACAGTTACCCCTTTGGAATAAAAACAGGCATACAGTTAGTATTTAATCCACTGTATTAGTTTTAAACAAAATGTGGGAAATATAAAATCTAGAACAGAATTTACCAGTTTCAGCTCGAAGTTTCTTTAAATTATAACCTCCTGGTCCAAGAAATCTTGCTCTTTTTGACAATGATACCTGAATAGTTTCTGAAATGAACAAAATTCAAGATATGAAGACAGTGTAACACTAGGATTTAGAGGTTGACGTTTTCATTTCGGCATAGTAGTATAATATTTAGAAATCTAAATAGATCTAAAATTAGATCTCAAGTTCATTTGACTAATGAGAATATCCTAAACACTGCATTTTGCTCACAGGACACTGGTGCTGACAAAAGAAAAGATGGAGGTAATATTAAACAATTTTCTTTACAGCACTATTATATCCACTCCAAATCTGCAGAACTTTGGATGATCATCAAGAACAAAGAAATCTTGGCACAAAAGGAAGAATCAATGAAAAGCAAAAATCAATGAACACATTTGTTTAACAAAAAATAACAGATTAACAAAACTGTTTCCCATAGATTTTATATGAATGTGGTTCACTAGTAGTCTAAAAGGAAAAAATACCCCACATAGATACAAACATTTACTAATTATTCTAGACTTTCTGATCATTTCAAGACAACATTGCTTCTATGATTTTGTTGGCAAGTATCTATTTCTAAATCTTAGTTTTTTGAGCAATGAACAGCAATTACTAATAGAAAGTGCTGTTTCTAATCAATCAAAACTGCCATATGGCATTAAAGGCACAACTGCTAATAAAAACAAAATTAAAACAGGACTAGAAAAATTATATTAAATCAATTTTTATACTTATCAAACATTTGCAAAAAATACTATGTTTTTTTCCCTTTGCCCCTTCTCTTTCTATTCTCTTTTTTTTTTAATTTTTTATTTTTTTTTAAACTTTGTTAAATTTAAATTCCATTAAATATTTTTCCATTTTTCCTCAAGACAAACATGTTGTGGTATTAATGATAAATGCCCTTCTTTAACAGATTCTGATTTTATTGATACTATATCATTTAGCAACCTCAGCAGGTCATGTATGAAACTGAATGACTGGAATAACTCAAAAAAAGTCATAAATCTGCATGTAGTGCTTTATGTACTGTATATACTGGGTCATCTTCTTAAAGTGCCCATTTCGTGCATTTTGGGAGAAAAACCTCTCTAACCATAACAATTAAGATTATATGTCATTACCTGTAAGTGGTCCATTCTCTTTTCTGCTTGGTCTAGGTTTTGCAATTACTTTGTTCATAATTTGCAAGACCTCTTTCTTTGCAACTATAGAAAAAAAATAAACATTTTTGTTTAAATACAAGACACATAAAATTTAACCTTTTTCTTAAAATAATACTGCTGGTTTTCTGCCTTTCTTTTTTAATATGACTAATCAAGCAAATCCTTTCCAGCATTTCATAACCACAAGGATTTGAGACACTTTTCATCAGCTGTTCTATTAAGTCAGGGGTAGTCAACCTTGGCTCTTTTATGACTCGTGGACTTCAATTCCCAGAATTCCTGAGCCAGCTTAGCTGGCTCAGGAATTCTGGGACTTGAAGTCCACGAGTCATAAAAGAGCCATGTTGACTACCCCTGTATTAAGTTAAAAGCAACATTATTTCCAGTCTAGAAAGTCATAAGGAATTAGTATAAGATCAAATCTTTTGTCCAGCTTCTGTATTATTTACAGTGCATCATGGAAGCCCTTTACATTCCCACTGGTAGAGAACATTTATGAGAACCAGTTTGGTCTAGTAGTTAAGGCAGAGCTAAAAAGCAGGAGATGGTGAGTTCAAGTCCTGCCTTAGCCATGAAAGCCAGCTGGGTGTCTCTCTCTCTCTCTCAACTTAACCTACCTCACAGGGTTGTTGTGGGGAAAACAGAGGAAAAAGGTACGTTGGGTATGTTCACTGCCTTGAGTTATTTGTACAAATAATAAAGGTGAGACATAAATAAATATTTTTAAGAATTTAAGTAACATTCCATTTCTTTCACATTTTAAGTTTTTGTTGCAATTTTTTTGATTATGGGCCTATTAAATTTTTAGGCTGGGTCTTGGAATAAAAATAACAGTCCTATTTGGCTGTATAGAACTATTCACTTAAGACAATGACAGCATTTTCTGCAAGTAAAATCAAACAGATTTCTCCTTAGTATTTTTCTTCTTCTGTAGTAAGAAAATAAAAAGCATGTTAAATGCAGTCCATTGCTGACATAGAGACAATGACAAACAAGGACCATTGCTAAGTTTTATGTTGAAAAGCAAAGAGATTTAAAGGGTTATATTTTAATATTTTAACATATATTATTTGATTTAAAGTTTTAATTGATCAGTGGGACTGTGATTAAATAGTCTTATGAAATATTTTGCTTTGAATGAACTCAGATTACCTTCATCTATGTTATCATTCTGGAAATCCCAAAGATCTACTTGTGCTAGCCTGGAACCGGAGATGTTCTTAAAGGGCTCCATTGTGGTTGATCTTTTATTCTCTCCTTGTGCTTTGTATATTTCCAAATATTTTAGTTTTTTATTTTTAATTTTTATAATGAGTTTTTATTGATTGCTGTACACTGCCTACTTTATGAGTAGATTACCATATACAGTAAATGTGATAAATAAATAAACTTAATGTACTGAATGCCAATCAAAATATGAGCCTGGATGTAGTTAATACTGTGGACATTTTTACAGATTTATAATTTACCTTTTGTTGATGTGAAAAATATAGAGAAAAAAGAAGCAAAGATAAATCAAGAATTGTGGTTGTCTTTCTTACCTGTAGCTTGTTGAATAGCTTCCATTACAATTTTTAAAGGTATTCCTGGTATCTTGATATCAGCCTAATAATGCACAAATTAAAAATATAGTATAATATCAGCTAATTTTTTCTGACAAATTGTGGGTCAGATGGATTAAAACGATTATAGCGGATACCTGTAAGGCAGTGATTCCTTTATTTGTCCCAGCCATCTTGAAGTCCATATCACCGTTATAATCCTCTATTCCCTGTATAAGAGCATTTGGAATAATCAACAACATTGCAATAGTTCTATTAACAATCCAATCATAAATGTCAACACAAATTCTGCTGTGACACTTTCTTCAGAACTGCACTAAATTCTATACTTATATTGATATAATGGAGTCTCCAAACTATATATCATGTCCTTGGAAAATAACATCAACCAAAGTTACTCAATAAATAGTTAAATACACTGATGCCAGAAGCCTAGTTTTGGTTTAGAGCATAATAAACATCGGCTGTAAAATACTAAATTCCCGGGATTTCAAATGTTGTATAATCTTTGATTGTTTCTAGATATTATAATTAATATGAGTTTTGCCAGAGGCAGGGGAAATTACACAGACTGCAGACTACATGGTCAACATGAATATAGGTAATTGCAGATTTACAACCATTCATTTAGTGATGATTCAAACTTACAACGCTAGTGAAAAAAATGAGATATGATCAGTTTTTATACATATGACCACTGCAGTGTCCCCATGGTCATGTGATCAAAATTTGGGCACTTGGAAACTGGCATGTATTTGTGACAAGTTGCACTGTCTAAGGGTCATCCGATCACCATTTGTAACCTTCCCAGGCAACCTCTGACAAGCAAAGTCAATAGGGGAAGACAGATTTGCTTAATGACCGCATGATTCACTTAACAATCACAGTGATTCACTTAAATGTGGCAAGGAAGGTTGTAAAATGGGACAAAACTCACTTAACAACTCTCTTGCTCAAATTGTGGTCATATGTTGAGGACTAATGGTATATAATACTCATATCAGACACATATTCAGTTCAATAGTTCATCAGACATCATACGTGTGAATTTGTATAAATGCAAGAAAAGTTATATAGTTGCTAAACAAAAGAACTTAGTAATCTCCAGAGCCAACTAGTACTAATATTTAATATTAAATGTTCATGCTTGTACAGCATTTAAAGCACTTCACACAGATTATATGTTAAAATGTGTATGGTTGGCCAATAATATCTCCATTTAATAGATAAGTAGGTTGTATGAGGAAAAGTAGTGGGTTTCCTGAGGCCATTAGATTCAAATGGTACTCTCCTAATTCAGAGCTCTGCCTCTCATTTATTTGCTATTAATTTATAATGGTCATGGATTTTAAGTTTTTTATAATTGAATTTTGGTGAAATAACAATCTTTTTAATAATTTAATATAAATTTTATAGATTGAAGATATCTCAAAATTGAGAAACAAACTTAAAGATACTCACCAGAATGTCTGTTAGTAGGCAATAATTTTCAATATCTCCATTTTTTTCAGGATTTGGCTTGGTAATCAAACCAACAGCAACACCTGCTACGGGAGATGATATGGGAACTCCTGGCAGAGAGAAAAAAAACCCCAAAATCATGCAGTTGAACAAAACTATTTAGGCTTTAGAATCCAACCTCTGCTTAGTACAAAATATATTTTTCCCTAGCCTTCATGTGAACATACCGGTATTCAAAGAAGGGAAGACCATCAGTTTTCTAGGTAATTTGTTTTACTGACAAACTCCTGTATCACTGAGAAAAAAATTCCCAACGTTCAAATAAAATATTTTTTTTTCAAGTTTGCATTCTTCCACGTTGTAGTGAATGGGAAGAAGCCTACTTCCAAACATTCTGACACCAAAAGGTTAAAAGTAAAACCAAAATACAATTGGTCAGTCACAGAGACAAATAGAACCTAGAAAAATCAAACTCTGAAGAACCAATCAGAAGGGAAAAACTCCTGTCCTATAGGCTTTTCCAAAAAGGATAGGAAAGCTCATTTTTTTCTTCTGTACCTGTATCTGGCACTGGCTAAAAGCCAGGTAAGAACTACACTCCAATCCATTGCAATTTCAGTTAGAGTTCAGGAATTAGACAGCTATCTAACTAGTAGCACCCCTACTAGGTTTTCCTAGGGAGTGTGGAAGCATATAGAAGAAATTGGGGGATGGGGAAGATTTAGGGACTTCTGCTCAATGAGATCAAAAGGACCAACCTTCTACATTCTAGGTATATACAGTATGTGTAATCATACCTCATTATACATATCCTGCAGTTTAGAACAGCGGTCCCCAACCTTCACAGCTTGGTGGGTGGCGGGGGAGAGGGGAACCGGCCCGTGTGCCATACTGCCGCTTGTGTAAGTCGAGTTGCACACATGCGCCAGCCCGCCACTTGCATGGCAAGTTAGGGTTGGCCTGGTAGTGGGCCGCAGCCCGGGGGTTGGGGACAAGTCATGACCATCATCTCTGTGACAACTTTTCAAATATTTCATTTATTTTCTTATTAAGGTCAAACCTTCCTAAATTCTTAAATTTCTTTTCATAGGAATCACAGTTTAAGTTGGGCAGTCTTATAAATCTAGTAAATAAATAAATATTCCTACTCACCCCTTTTAAAATTCTTTTTGTTTAACCTGTTCCAGTTTGCCTTGAAACAGTTTGTATTATCCAGAATTGAATCCAAAAATAAAAGTTAAATCTGACTTTTATGTTATTTGAAACCAATATTTTTAATTTTACTATTTTCATAGCATTGTATTACATAAATCAATTCAAAATATGACATTCATACGCTTTAGGAACAACATACCTGCATCCATCAAGGCTAGACTTCCACCACAAACAGAAGCCATCGATGATGACCCTAGGGACAGAAATTGTAAGGTATCCCTTAATGCATTGTCAATTAAATACTACCTTTCTAACATATATTTACAAATGAGTAGCTTTCCCAGTGAGAGCCAGTTTGGTGTAGCAGTTAAGGAAGTCTATCAAAACCAGAGATCACCAAATTTTAGTTCCTCCTTAGGTACAAAGCCACCTGATTGATGTTGGGTCAGTTGCTTTTTTTTCAGAGCTTGGAAGCAGGCAATGGCAAACCACCAATGAAATTTTGCCAAGAAAACTGTAGGGAATAATCCAGACAGTCACCAGGAGTCAAGACTGACTTGAAGGCAACCTTCCCCCTCCAAATGTTTCCCAGTAATATGAAGAAAATCCATAACTGTTCATCAATTTTTGATTTCTATCTCCTAAATCAGGGGTAGGCAACCTTGGCTCTTTTATGACTCGTGGACTTCAACTCCCAGAAGAGCCAAGGTTGCCTACCTGTCCTAGATGTACGGTAGATTCTTCAGTCATTCTAGATACAAGTAACAAAGTAGTGATCCCAAACCTTGATGAATTTCAGAAATTTTAAAAAAGCTTGGAATAAGAGCTGAAGTATAAAGGCCTTAAACATTCATAAACCCTATTTTTACCAAAATCACAATGAAATTTTCTACTAGAGATAAAAAAGGCTACAAATCCCTTCTCCCAAATCCTAGATTGTTACTAATAGATTAAAGCAAAATATATAAAAAAGCAAATACCATTTGATTCTAAAACTTCTGAAGTAACTCTTATTGTGAAGGGGAAATTACTTGGAATCACCGATTTCAAAGCCTTCTCTGCAAGTGCACCTACAGGTAAAAATAATGTCATGAATACAAAGAATACTTAACTTTAATATAAACATTGAGTTGCCTAAGGGTTTACTTACCATGACCAAGTTCTCTCCTATTTGAACCTGAAACTCTGCCAATCTCATTAGTTGCATATGGAGGGAACTACAAAGAGAAGGAAGACACTTTAAAATACTAAGAGTCAGTATTTATGTTAAGATACAGAGCCAGAAATTCACACATGCTATTTGAAATAGTTTTCAGAATTTAGAAATTATTTTAAGTGATTCATTTATTCTCACAGTTCTGAAGAAAAATATTGGCTCTCACAATTAAATATAGAGAACAAACGTATCTAATCCACTGAAATCAGGCTAAATGTTATTAACATAATAGTTACATTGCAAAAATATCTAACATCTACTGCTTGAAATAACTATAATAAATACATATATGCATCTATTTGCCATCTGTGCAATATATCCACATATAAACAAACACAAATGCACACACTGTAGATGCTGTTTAGGAACAAACTAAGGGTTATTTCATAAAAGCCCTTTAATAAAGGATCATGTGAAGGTAATCATTTTTCAGTTGCACAAAATATTCTCCTTCAATTACAGACAAGAGAGTGTATAGCAACTTCTAAATGGTCATATACAGATAGTCCTCGACTTATGACCACAATTGAGCCCCTTTCTGTTGCTAGTGAGGCATTTGTTAAGTGAGTTTTGCCCCCTTTACAACCTTTCTTGCCACAGTTGTTAAGTGAATCGCTGCATTTGTTAAGTTAGTAACACAGTTGTTAAGTGAAATTGACTTTGCCAGAAGATAGCAAAAGGTGATCACAAGACCCCGGGACACTGCAACTGTCATAAATATGAGTCAGTTGCCAAGCATCTGAATGTTGACCACATGACCACATGGATGCCCCAGTGGCCTTGTGAAAAATGGTCGTAAGTCACTTTTTCCAGTGCAGTGGTAACTTTGAATGGTCATTAAACTAATTGTTGTAAGTTGAGGACTACCTATATCTGACTCTGTACATTTTGACTGGATGTTTTTATTGCTGTTGCCCAAATGTAATCTACCTCTCTCAAAACATCTTAACGAGTTCACAATTCAGCCCAATATGTGATTTTACTTCTATGGTTTATGGCTTAACATTAGATGGACTTCTTAAAGTGAGAACCCAGATAAGGTTGTTTAAGTGGGAACTCTAGAGGTAGGGGTTACTTGTAGTATAAATTAATTATTTTTATTCCTAAAAATATTCAAAGCAGAGTAAAACATTAAAATCTCATTAAAAAGTCACAAAAATATCACAATACTTCCAGAAAATGCAACTTAAAAGTACACAACAAGCACAACAGCCAGAGCATTATTATTACAATACAGCTGGTCTTCCTACAGAAAACTTTGGAGTTCCCTTGAGATCTGAATAAGCTTTTGACAGAGGAATTTTATTTTTAAGGAAAGCAATGTGGAATCAGCCCTAAGTCCAAGTACTTAAGTTTATTGATTAGGCATACTTAAAAATATTCAAGTGAAACAAAGGAAAATATCATACCTCATAATGAAGCATAAAGTTTTTATCTTTTATTCCACTAAAATAGAAATAAAAAGTTATGTAGATCTTAATAAGCTGTATATAATTTAATCAATGCATGAACATTTTAATAAAACTATCTACTTTGCCCTCTCTCACAAACAGACAAAACATGAAGTCAGGATTTAGAGCACGAGAAACCTCATTTCTCCAAGCCATAAATTGCTGCAGAATCCTTGAAATTTTCAGAAGCAGTTTATTTTTGTAGTAAGTTTAGCTTATAGCTATGTATAAGTACATTACTATGGAGCCCTTTTCCTGATTCGACCAACCTGTTTTCAGAACTCAGAAACTAATGTGATAAGCCAGTACAAAGTTATATTTTTAAAATTAAATCAGCCTAAGCATGATCTGTCTTTCATAGGAAATTGTCTGGAGAAATGGTTTTATGCACACAAACTGTGTACAGTATGTGGCCACGTATGCACATATTGTTTACAGAAATGTGTCTGAATTGATATTTTAGTCAGCTTTTCTTAAGATAGTGAATAATGTTTTGAGCATTCTGACAAGGAGGCTTGTCTGTTCACAAAAATGAATGGAACAGCCTATCACGGAAAATTAATTTATAAAAAAATGTGAAATTGTCCACCATCTGCCATTCCAGAATGCTGGTTTCTAACCCAACATTTTCTCTGCATGAAAACTTGCGAAGAAAACATTGGACTGCAATGAATCCACTTTTATTTTATAACAATGCCCAGGAAACTTATATTATGTTTAGAAGCCTTCTTATAAATACAATTATTCTAGGAGAGGATCTTTTGGTTGCAACTTCTCATTTAAAAAATAAAAATATTGTCAGAACGGATAGGGAAGCTTGTAGGAGCAAAGGTGCTGAGAGGCATATAAGCATTCAAGTATCATAAACCATTGTCCTACATTAAGCCATAATTCTTAATTTATAAACTAAAACAACGGCCCTGAAAAAAGTGACGACTGGTTCTCACACTTACAACTATTGCAGCATCCCTACAGTAATGTGATGAAAATCTGGGCGCTTAGCAACTGACATGTATTTATGATGGCCGTATCATTCCAGGTCACCTTTTGGGACTTTCTCAGCTGGCTTCTGACAAGCAAAGTCAATGGGGGATTTGCTTAATGACTGCCCGAATCACTTAACAACTGCAGTGATTCATTTAACAACCATGGCAAAAAGGTCATAAAATTGAGCATGACTCACTTAACAATCACCTTGCTTATCAATAGAAATTCTGGTTCTAATTGTGGTCCTTGTCAAGGGCTACCTACATTATGAATTAAGATGATGTCAAAAGCCAGTCCCCATGGTTTGTAAACAATGTAATTCATTGCTTAGTGACAGGTGTAAAACAAGCTTCTATTTGTTCAATAAATCATGCTGAAGAGAAATTTTAGTTTAGTATGTGAATCCAATCATTGTATAACTTAACTTAAATTTTAAATTGCAATATTGCAATTTATTATTTTATCTATTCCATTTAGTCTATCTTGTCTTCAGTTAAAAATACTTATAAAGGTAGTCCTCGACTTACAACCATAATTGAGCCCCAAATTTCCACTACTAAGCAAGACAGTTGTTACAAGTGAGTCGTGCCTCATTTTATGACCTTTTCGCCATGGATGTTAAAAAAAAAACCTCTGAAGTTGTTAAATGAATCATGTGGTCGTTAGGTGAATCTTGCTCCCCTCCCCATTGACTTTGCTCATCAGAAACTCTCTAAGAAAGTTGCAATAACAATCCCGGGATGCTGCAACCATCGTAAATACATGCTGGTTGCAAAGCACATCAAAGTTTGACCATGTGACTGTGGGGATGCTGCAATAGTCATAAGTATGAAAACAGGTCATAAGTAACTTTTTTCTGTGCCGTTGTTACTTTGAATGGTCATTAAGCGAATGGTTGTAAATCGAAGACTATCTGTAATGCTTAATAAAATGTAAACATAAGGTGTACAACTAAAGACATAAAATCAATGTTCAAATCAATTAAACATTAAAATTCTGATAACAGTGATCCATCTTTCCAGATTTTCTGAATGATGAGAGATCAGGGAACAAAGTGAAATCCTTAGGGTAAAGTGTCTCACTGACTGCGTGGAATAAAGAAACGCTTCTTCTGCATGCCAGGCAGGTATACTTTAGACAAAGAGGGGCCTTTCCAAAAGGGCCTCTCCTGAAGATCTAAATCAAGGGTAGTCAACCTTGGCTCTTTTATGACTCGTGGACTTCAACTCCCAGAGTTGGCTCAGGAATTCTGGGAATTGAAGTCCACGAGTCATAAAAGAGCCAAGGTTGACTACCCCTGATCTAAATGGTAAAACAGCTTAAGCTACAAGAATTATGGCTCCTCTAATATTTAATAATTTAGCGATTTCAAGTTCAACATAACACATCAAGAGAGGAAGTTGCCAGTCCCAATTGTGGTTGCTAAGTGAGGACTACCTGATAAGCAATCAGATGAGCCCGCAAACAGCAAAAACTAAACTAAGCTAGCAGTGTGAAGAAGGTGAAAGGAAAATATACAATGGCACATACCTGACTACTGTTGTAATAAGATCTGATTTAATACTTGATTCTAACGAATCAAATGTAACTGTACACAGGACCTAAATATTAGCCAAAAAAGAAGTGGTATTATAAAAACATTTCTATTTAAGAAAATTAAATTCTTTAATAAAAATGATAGTAACATAAAACGTTTCAGAAACTCAATGAAATTATGTTCGCCTTCATTTCAAATGTTTCCGAGCTGTACTTGTTTAAGATTATACTACAAGAATAAATGCTATATATTAGAAGTTTCAATCAAATATGTAAAAATCAACCGAACTTATTTTTCAGAAGGAAAAAAGGATAAAAATATGTACTCTTTTTTACCAGTTTAAGATCAAGAAGTCTGATCAAACATACTGCTGTTTTTAACTATTCATATACAAGAACCTTTTCATTCACTGACATGCATATCCCATACAATGCAATTTTAATAGCAGTGCAAAACAAAGCCCTCTAATTTCATATGCACAAGGAAGTTAGGGATAATTTTACAAACAAAGTAGCAGTCAACTTATTTCAAAATTTTAAAATATTGTAGTCACTTAAAATCATAAATTTTGTTTTAACTGCACGCTAACAGTATACCACTATTTGCACTGTATGATTTTTTCCCCTCTTAAGACATAGACTCGTGCATACATTTTCCTGAGTCCCAGGGCATGAAAGATTTTTCAAATGATGATGATAAAGCTTTAAATTTTGTTCATATAAAGCTTGAGTTTTGCTGCAGATTATATCCCCCTTTTAATGCTTTTAACAGCCAAGCCAACAAACAGAAATAAATATGGTAATTTTTTAAAATGAGGCATTTAAGCAATTTTTTAATTTATAATATTCAAAAACAAGAGAAGTTAATACCTGTGTTTGTCCCCTTTGAAATAAAGCTGAACCATGCAAAGTTTTAAACAAGTCCACTTCACAACTGATATTTCTAAGTGTAGTGAAATCTCTACCATCACATCTAGAAAAATAAAATTAAAAAGAAATAATTTTTCTTTCCAAAATCTTATTTCACGAACTCATATACAGAATGCATCCTTTGATTTAAATCCAATAGCAGTGTTACCTGTTAGAGCTGATACAGAGTAGGGGAGAAGGTTTACTACAGCATCTCCTGCTTCTACTATTTCACTGATATATACATACTGGTATAATATTCAAATATAGGTCCAACTAAAAAAGGCTGTCAACAGTTCAGATCAAATCAATCCATTGACACATATTTTTTAAGTTTCTAATCAAGTATTACTTCTCGAACATATTGTCAAATACATTTTTTTCTGGTTCATCATGCACATGTTGTCCTGTTAGGGACTCTATTCTTATTGGCTCATGTACAAGGCATGAGTTGTTTCAAAATCTATCCCACATTTTGCCTTCTATTAGCATCATTTGAAAATAATACCACTTAATTACAATCAATTCCACATTTACCTTCGGTATTCATTCATGATAAGATTTCTAAAGATTTCCTTGGTAACAACATTAAATGATTCCATGATTTCATAAGAATCTGCCTCTGGAAACTTTTCTAGGAGTTAATATAGAAGAAAAATTATTTTCTGTCACTTAAAAATTTAGTGAACAGCAGCTATTTTAGCAACAAAATAATTAGCATGATTTTATATCTTTTTCTTTCAGCAGATACAAAGAGAACAGCTTAGTAGAAATGAAAGCAACCAAACAGGAAGGAAAAGATATGAGATACATGTTTCTTTATCATCAACATCCATATAAGGCAGGGGTAGTCAACCTTGGCTCTTTTATGACTCGTGGACTTCAACTCCCAGAATTCCTGAGCCAGCTAAGCTGGCTCAGGAATTCTGGGAATTGAAGTCCACGAGTCATAAAAGAGCCAAGGTTGACTACCCCTGATATAAGGTGTCCACAGAACTATGAGTTTGGGTTTCACTAAGATGGTAGTCTAAATATTTATATATATTGTACAAATAGAAAAAGTCCAGACATAACAAAAATAGTATATTCATCTTCTTTCTCACTATTTTTTTTTTACATCCAAGGAATAAGAACATTCAATCAGACTAAATCCTGTAGTCTGCAGTACTACATTGCACAGACATTAGTTCACCACCTTAGTAAAATCTGGGTTAGATTTAGGTTACTGACATATCTGTGAAAAAGAACCTGTGCCTTTTTTTGCCTATCAAACATAGATCTGTACACAAAAAGTCTCTCCAAAATATATTTCGTAATATGCATGCACATGTAAAACAATTATTAGTATATCTGACCTTTTAGCTGTTCTTCTGTTTCAAGCCTGATTTTGTTGATAGCTTCATCTCTTGAAATCTAGAATGCAAAATGTCCAGGTAGTTATTAAATTTATGTTCTATCTTTCTTTCATCAATAGTGCTCAAGATAGCAAAAGATAGATACAAAATAGAATTCGAACACAAAATCCCATTTATTAAAATGAGAATATATAATTAAGAAAAGAATCGACCAGTTCAAAATCACCCCAGAACCTTAAATGTCTTGCTGAAGGATAATATAGAGGCAGAAAACACAACTTCATTTGCAGGGAGTTCTAAAGCCTGTAGCAGATATGGAAAAGCCACTTTCATGTTCTCAATAGACTAGAGGAATGTCTTAAGAGTGGCAGGGAATTTATCATGTACAAGAAAACCATGTTCAAGATAAAAGAAATAGATACTAATTGTACAGATTACTTTAAACTTATTGCAGATGGACTAGCAGGTTCCAATCTTCGATGTGGACCAGGGTACTGCCATTGCAAGCTTTTGTGCCAAGAGTCAGTAACCTGATAATTGCAGTCATGATTATGTATCTAACACTACTATGGGATACCAAAAATAAATTGGAAGGAATAAAAAAAATTGCTAAATCTATGGATTTTGCACTCTCCTGAGATATGGGGTATTTTAGAATAACGTGGGGGATTTGTTTTAAATTTTATCAAATTTATATGATACATTTTGTTGTTGTTAATTGCGAAGTCGTGTCCGACCCATCGCGACCCCATGGACAACGTTCCTCCAGGTCTTCCTGTCCTCTACCATCTTCTGGAGTCCATTTAAGTTCATGCCTACTGCTTCAGTGACTCCATCCAGCCACCTCATTCTCTGTCGTCCCCTTCTTCTATTGCCCTCAATCTTTCCCAGCATTAGGCCCTTCTAAACAGTAGTCCCTGGATCATAGCCCAGACCATGGCCTGGGAGTGGACCTGCTTCATAAGAAGAAAGGTGAACTGAAACTTTATGCATTTGTTAATACTTTCATTTCTTTGTTCATAAACATGGATCTTTTTCTTGCTGCCACACGCAGTTTTGCTAAAGAATTGCTGCCAGATGTTATGTTAATTAAATTTTTACGCTTGCCCAATTCCTAGTGATTCAGTGTTTTGAATAATCTTTTGCCTCTTGAAGCTAGATCAGTACGTAGCCCTATTGGGATGCAGAAAGAAAATCTAGAAGGGACTCAGCTGCAACTGATTACATGAATGCAAATACTTACTTTATCATGTGTGAAGTCTGAAAATACTGCTGTGACTTTTTCAGATGCAAGTCTTTGCAGAGATGGAGGAGGAAGCACAGAAAAATAAGTAAACAATGTAGTAAGTTCATACTTTAATAAAAACTTCACTCATACTGTGTATGTTGAATTTTTCTTCTGCTTTGAAAGAGTAAACCCTCAAATCTAAAAAACTGGTTTAGTGATGTTTGCTTTTAATTTACAAAATATGCTGAAGTGTATTTTATTTGAATTGCAGGCAATAACAAATTTTCTCCCAAACATTGTACAGTGTCCATATTTAGCAAAGCAGTCTAGACTATGCTTGCTGCTTCCACTCAAAATGAGTATTCAATATTAAGAGTAGATTTTATCATGTGCTTTGGTTTAAAAAAGACCCATTTGCCATTTAATAAATGTTTGGTTTTACTAAGCACCCTTTCTCATCATTAGTCTATTTAATCAAAGGTTTCCTGTACAATAATCCAGCAAATATCCAAACACCTGTGTTTAGAGCACAAAATGAAGAGTATATACTAATAAGATCTATAATATGTATTTGAAATCCAAAAAATACACATAATCTAGCAAACAAAATCTTCTCAATATTATGTTGAGGAAACTGAACACAATTTAGAAATGTAGCTTCATCCTTTGAAATTAGGAAAGCCAGGAAGAGACATTTTAGTAAATCAGGGATATCAAACTGCCGGCCCGCGTTATACCGAAGCCGCGCTCACCCCATTGCTGGCAATGCAAAAAAGAGTCGTGATACATTGTGACACGTCACATGACGTGGCAAATTTGACACCCATGTAGTAAATGAACTGATTGTGATGGTCATAAATATGAAAAATGTTCATAAGTCACTTTTTCAGTGCTGTTGTAACTTTGAATGGCAGCAGGTTTGGAACATATGTGCAACAATTATGTAGCTACAGTTATTTTTAAGTAAGAAAGAATACAAGAAGCTAATGCACATTCAATTACAGCTCTCCAGATGCCTGTATACACACTTACTGTTGTGCATATTTCACAATCTCCTCAGGGGCAGTGAATAACTTCTGGTCAGTTCTCTTTTTGATTCTTTGCTCTCTTTCCAGCTGCTGTATGCCTTGAATGATCTGCTGGGTATGCTTCAAACCTACTTTGATGGCATGGCAGAAATCCTGTTGCAGGATGTTGTCTGCTGCAGCTTCCAACATAACTATTGAATAAAATTGAGAGGTGGTTAATTACTCCAACAGCCTTCAGTATGAAATATATTAGCTATCAACAAAATGCCTAAGACAAAGAAATGGCCAGCCTATATTATGTAAATGGGTCTTAATGAATTAAGATTCACACATATGAAGACTTAACTGCTTTGCTATGAAGAAATCTATCCTATTTCACTTAACCTTTTCTGATCTGGCTTGGAAACACTACTTTAGAACCTTCCTCAAATAACTACAAGTTAAACTGAGTCACTGGCAAACAGCAATAACGTCAGCAAAAAAATACCTAAGTCCATACTTCAGACAGCTAACTTCTTTGCAAGATTTTTGTGACTCAGAAGTATTAAGTATTTTATTTAATGAATCTATATGGCTACCCATCTTGCAAATGCAACTCTGGGTGGCTACCAAAACCAGTAAAATAATAACAAAATTAGCAAAGAATAAACAAACTGTTCTATTTGGAAATAGGCATTGGGAGATGAAATAGATTTAGTATCTAAAAAAAGTGTTAAGTCAGGTACATCAAAGAGACTTTCAGAAGAAAAGTGACAAAATATCATCAAACATGTCTTTCTGGGCTAGTTGTCGGGGTTGGGAGTGAGTAGCACAGTACAGTATTGGTTTTCTTCTTTCCCCTATTGCTGGTTTCAATCAGTGTTGATTGGGAACTAGAGGTCCTGCCCTCAGCCCCTACACTGTGGGATGCCACAAGGTTCTCTTCACTCCTGTTCAACATCTACATGAAGCCACTGAGAGAGGTTAATGGTAATCATGTGGTAAGGTATCATAAGTATGCTGATGATACCCAACTGTATATCTATTCACATGGTGAAGTTGACATCTTGCCTTGGTCCTGGAGGATGTAGAGGTTTGGAAGGGCTTCAACTCAACTCTGGTAAGATTGAATGGATGTGATGGAATGTGTCTACAAAGAGGAAGGTGGCATGATGGACTAGTGCAGCGAGTTTCCCAGGACAGAGGGAGCACAGGAGAGGGGGTGAGATAAGAGGCAATAAAGCCCAGAGCTGGATCAGAGAAAGAGATTTAGGACAGTCACTCCCTAAAATCTCTAATTATTTCCTCAGTAATATACATTTAGTTTGGCAAGATTCTGTCTATATGGTATGAGCAAATAAAGAACTGAACTTTGGCTGAACTATATCATTTTGGGGTTGAACCTGGCAACGGCTTTGGGTACCACAGGAACTGAGAATTTATCATGGATAGGGCTGCACTACCTATACAGAGCCAATGCACAATCTGGAGATCCTTCTGGACTCAAGATGACTGCTCAAGGAAAAGGTTGCTGTCGTAGCTAGAGGGCCTTTGTACAACTTTGGGTTGTGCACCAGCTGTGCCCATACCTGGATTGGGAGGCCCTACACTCAGTCACTCATGTCCTAGTTGCTTCCCACTTTATTGTAACATAGGGGTGTCAAACTCGCAACATCATGTGATGTGTCACGATGTATCGCGACTTTTTCTCCATTGCCAGCAATGGGGTGGGTGCAGTTTTGGCATGACATCTGGCCCGTGGACCGGCAATTTGACATCCCTGTTGTAACACATTCTACATGAGGCTGCATCCAGAAATTTCAGATGGTGCAAAATGCAGTACATTTCATACCTCTGCTCTGCACAACAGTTCAAAATACACATTATTTCTATAATCACATATAATTCTAATATGGGATTTATAATTTCCAAAAACAAAATTTCATTTCTTTCAGTTTCTGGCAAAAAGTCCAAAAGAGGTTTCCATGTAGAAATAAAATTGTTCAGTCTTTTTAAATCAAAGCTAGGTAGTTCTCAACCTACCACAATTGGGACAGAATTTCAGTTATAAATTATGGCAGTTGTAAATCAATATATGAGTGGGCCTGATTTTATGACTCATTTTATGGTGGACACTAAGCAAATCATACGGCTGTATGTCCAAATCATGTAATTGTTAAGTGAATCGTATGGTTGTAAAAGTTGCAAATGTAAGCCAGTTGTCAAGTGACCAAAATGTAGTCATGTGGCTGTGGGGGAGGGATTTTATGACATCTAGAAATGCTTTAGAGGCCGTAAAGCATTTCTGAGGCCATCATAAGTCCAAATGTTCATTAAACAACCAGTGTCAAGTCAAGAACTATCTCTATATGCATATTTGAACCACTTACCAATATGGCTCCGAGGGGCTCCAGAAACCACTAAATTCAAAGTACTAGAAGCCATTTCTTTTCGAGTGGGATTAACAACAACTTCTCCATCAATCATTCCAACTCTTACAGCTCCTAAGAAGGTACTCCATAAATTAAGATATTCCATCAGTTATGCAAATCAATTCAAATCAAACAATAAAATCAGTAATTTGTGAACCTTTTCAATGTTTTTGAATCAGAAATAATACATCTTAGATAATAATGTATTACTTATCAAATTTGCTGCTTCAAATATTTTGCTTTATTGAACAAATTTTTTAAAAGCTATACCACAAAGACAATTCCCACACAGTGCTTGCGTCAAATTCATCGAAGTAATGAAAGGAAATAAGGGATTTTTTTTCTTTGCTTAAATTTGAGAGGATATTAAAACAATAGTGAAAATAATGTATGAGAAAAGCTACTTCACTGGTGCATCTCTGGCACGTTTACAATCAGATTATGGTGATTTAGAATGGGGAAACATAATCTCAAGTGCTAGGACTGGAAGTAGTCATGAACTTTTGATTGTAACTCCCAATATTTAATTTTTCTAAAAAAT